TGTTGTTGTGGCAATAGCGAAAAAGCCTGTGTGGTGGTGGGCACAAAGTGTCAGATGTGGAGGTCAACAAAGCATAGGAACTATGTTATTAGGGGTGGGTTTACTATAATTCACCATGTATTTTTTAAAGTATTTCCATATGTAGCTACACAAATGCAGTGAACAACTCAACATTTATTTCAGTGGGATGAATCAGTCCATCAACTGACTAACACTTGAGCACATACCAGATGGAACTGCTGCATGTGGGGGTAAATGTTGCTGAGCATTGCTAGCTGCTGTGGGGAAATCTGAGGAGGGAACACTCCTCCACCAACACCACCGACCCCTCCGACACCTCCGACACCTCCTACTCCTCCGACTACTCCACCCACACTGCCACCAGGGGAGGGCATCTGCTTCAGCACAGGACCCGGCACCTGCACGTCACAGGAATTTTTTTTACATGTGGCTGTTGATAGACATTTGCTGGAGTAACATGAGAAACAGGAACACTCCATGCCTCAAGCCCCAATCAATATTTATTTATAAATGACTAAAAAATTTAAATTCAATTAACGTCAAGAGATTTTTTTGAACACCATAGTGTTGTAGCAACAGGTGCGTAAGATTCAAGACTGAGAAGAATGAGTCCTATATTGTTCAGCCATAGTGGTGATGTCCATTAAATTATTGATCTAGTAAGATATTTCTCTTGCTGACGTGTAGTCTTTGTCCTATATTATCTTATAGTTTGTGTTGTACTTTTCCTTGTTGATAGAAATTACATTACATTTTTGAGTATTGTGATTCTTAAATTTCATTTAGGGCCTTTTACTCTTTGTTACAGGCTGTAACGTGTAAAACATTTTGATTGATCAGAAATGTGTACATTCACAGTTAAACCAGAACAGAATCCAATTTTGGGAGGGAGAGAGACAGACAGAGAGAGACAGAGAGAGAGACAGAGACAGAGAGAGAGAGAGAGAGAGAGAGAGAGAGATGCTTCTTTACATGAAATTTCATGAAGTCAGGAGACTAAGAGGCAACAAGTGCACGGCAGCATTACTGTCCAAGGCCAAACGAATCAGACAACTAACTTGTCACCTCCTGTTTGGCAGTTTTACAAGATGACTGATATAGAGAACAGAACTGGGTAAACAAAAACAGTTAATGCACAGTACACAGGAAATAAATAAGATGAAGTAGCTTTTATTACGTCTAAACATTGTGTTAATGGCTTCTTAAAAGCTACTCTGGAGCATAAAAGCCACATCAACACCGCTGTTATTTACTGCCAGACCATGAGACAATCAGGCAGTAAATAATTCCGCTCAACAGCTAGCAAGCCCCACGAACAACATGGGTCTACTAATTAGAACAACACACGAATTTGCCCCCAACTCTAACATGCAGCATCAGCATTTTTATTGGAAATATTCAATTAGTACTAAAAAAAAATGCAACCAACTAAAATTTGAGCATGTGAAGTAAACATTTGCAGAACTCAGGACAGCCTCCATTTCTAAGTACAACCTTCACTATAATTAAGGACATCAGACAAGACAACAGACCTGAGCAGACAGGAACTGATGAGGCACTTGAGCACGTAACCCCGGGGAGGGGTTCATCTGATGCACGCCAGGCTGGTGCATCCCTCCACCACTGCCAACAAATACTCTGTGGGCACCCATCTGTATAACAGTGAAAACCGTACAGCTATAGCAACACACCTGTGGTGAGTATTTCTAATCTCAGAGGAATGTTTTCACAAACATCCTCAAGTTAGCACAACTGGCTTCAAGACCAATGTGGCAGTTAACACCATAAACAGACACTTGCCTTTTCACCATAGGGCCCCATGTCAGCAGGACCCATGTCTTTGGAACTAGGCATACGGTAGCCTCCTCCACCTCTTCCTCCCCTGCGTATCTCTCCATTATAATCAGTGATCCCTCTCTTGTCTCCTTCCATCTTTTTGTCAACACTTGGGTCATCACCCTAAGAAACAATGTCATTTAGTGACCTGACACTCATTCACAGAACAGTAACAGAGTAACAGTAACATAACATAAAACAAAGAATCATAACACAGCAATATCAAAGTTACGGCATAATAACAGAAAAACATCAGTAACACTTTACAGTGGTTTTCAACAGCCAGAAATAAGGTTCTTCCTTAGTAAATAACATCTTACCAGAAGACCCATGTTTGAAAACTGACGTGACACTGGGTTCATCCAGTTGTCCCCTCCTCCACTCTTCAAGAAGGAAATCATACATCATCAGTCACAAAAAGGAAACAAAACAGTACAAATGATGGCCAGTACTGAGCACTGAGTGTCCTAGAAACTTTTCTTCCCTACCTTGATGTTGCCTCTCTTTCCGCCATGAGTCTGACCCCAGCCTCCAGAGTTGAACGAGGAGCTGCTTCCCTGCGAACCAGTGCTGTTCCAGACTCCTCCACCACCATCATCTTCCTCGTCCCAGCTGGGGTGACGAGAGGCGGCGACAGAACCCTCTCCCTTCCCGCCCCAGCTCTCCATTGACTTGGTGCCTGTGGTAAAAACAAAGCAGACGGTTATGATAATATTGGATTCTCTAGATCACCTGCATCACATCTCAAATAAAAAAAGTAAAATATTGTAATATTTTGAATTACACACATTCTGTTCTATTCTTACCAGACTTGCCAGGGTTGGGTGAATGGTTCCGCCAGCCAGAAGCTTTGCTGGGTTCATCCGGATCGCCCCAGCCGGTTGGTGCTTCTGATGCCTGGCCCCAAGCGGCTGTGCCATCGTCCACAGACTGTGCACCACCTCCCCACATACCTGGACCTGGAGATTAATCAGACTTAACGCTACCATTTCAAATGTACTAAAGAAAAAGTTACATTTATGATTTTGATGACATGAGTGGATAAGGCTGACATTAACAGATGTTTTTGGGCTTTAAGAGCACTTTAAATGCAAATGCTCAATCTACTTTTGTCATTTGTCAAATCCACATTTATTGTAACGGTACAGTTCCTGCTTACCCACTGCAGTGTTGCCAGAGTTTGTGTCTCTGCTGTGCTGCATCCCCTGCTGCCTTCTAGGTGGTTGCTGCTGCAGCTGGATGGATGGTGGTGGGGCCTGCTGACTGTGGCTTTGGCCACTGTTCTTGTCCCATAAGTTCACATTCTTGCTGTTGTAGCGGGTTGGGTCTCCCCAGGCTGACGTGCCGTCGTCTATTTCCATTTTGCGACTGATGGACTGAGGGGAGGGTTCTTCCCACCCACTGGGCTCCAGGGAGTCCCCCCCACCTCCAGAGATTTGGGGGATTGGACCGGAGTTCCAGCCCGAACTTTGGTTCTGGTTCTTGGATGGTGGACCTCCACCTCCAACATTGGACCGGCTGTTCCACCCTCCTTGCAAGGGACCTCCCGGTGGCTGCTGGCCCTGTGATTGGTGCTGCTGTTGATTTGGGGCTTTCATTGGTGCCACTTGGCTGTTTGGTATCTGTGCTGCTGCTGTGTGGGGCTTGGCACTCCCCCATTCCTGGTGGGATTTTCCTCCACCCACATCTCCTCCCCATCCTCCTCGCTGAGATCCCCCTTCATCTAAATTACCCCAAGAAGTTCCCTCATCAGAGTTGCGCCTATCTCCCCAGCTGCTTCCAGGCCCACTCTCTCTCTGTCCCCAGTTTCCTCCACCTCCACACTGTCCCCTCCAACCACCTGCCTCCCCTCTTCCAGTCCCCTTCCGTCCCCCTGTCCCTTTATCCTCTGGACCATCACCCCACCCACTACCCTGTTCTCCACTGTCTCTCCAGTTCCCTCCTCCTCTGCAATCCCTCCATTGTTGTTGTTCTTCAGCCCCCCATCCTTTGCCCTGGTTTTCAGGTGGGAGATCACCCCATCCTCCAGCTGGCTTCCCCATGTCCCCCTCCACATCTTCTTCTGGTGTCCCTGGCTTTCTTATAGTGCTACCAGGCATATGGGGGCCACAGGTGGACTGAGTAGCACCACTATCCCAGCCATCCCTCACTGCAGCAGGGCCAGAGTTCAGGCTGGTCGTGTGACTGCCAGCAGATGGATCATTAATTATTGAACTGGTGTTAGACGGGTAACCAGAACCACGACTAGGGGTAGGGCTCAGGGCTGCTGATGAAACGGCAGAGGAAGTGCTTCTTTCATTTCTGTTTCCTACTCCTATTGAGGTGTCCAGATCCCAGGCAACATTCTGCCGAATCTGGGTCTGCCCCCAGCCCGTGTTAGACAGAACCCTGGGGTCCAAGTCAGATCGATTGAGCATGCTCAGTAAGGCCACTTCTGCACCGGATGTCTGCGGGAGGGAGCGGTGGTCTGCAGACGAGGTTCGATCCTGCTTAAGTCCGCTACCATTCCCGCCTCCACCACTTCCAGCTATAGAACCTCCTCCACTAGAGATTGAAGGTCCTCCACCTCCAGGGTCTCCACCTCCATCCCACTTCCCAACTGCCCCGTCCCCGATTTCCATCCCTTTCTGATTGTCCCAAGCTTTTGTCATAGTTGCAAACTTTGGTGAGGCAGAGTCCTGCAAAACGCTGCCACCAACACCTACACTTACACTTTCCCCACTGCTGCTGCTGCTGCTGCTGCTCGCATCTCCTTCTCTCCTGCTTCCTATTGCTAAGTTACTTGAACTTATACCTCCAGCCGTGCCACTCCACTCTGCTTCTGAACTGCCTCCTTCCCACGCTCCCTGAGATACCACTGGGGTATTTGAGCCACCATTATTATCTCTGCCCCACCCTTCCTTGTCACCTTGGCTACCAAAGCCCCACACATTCCCTTCCTGCCCCTGAGCTCCAGTCGCTCCTCCACCCCACCCATCTACCTGTGATGGAGCTGCGCTGAGGTCAGAGGACACCGGTGGCATGGATCTCCACGAAGAGGAGGCAGCTAAGGAAGAACATGAAGAGCCAGAAAGGCAATCACTCCCTTCTACTTCAACACCAACAGCCCCGCAGTCCTTCTCATTGCCACCTTCTGGATTTGGTCCTGCTCCTTCTGCTCCCTCACCTGAACTCTGCTCCGGTCTTGGGTTTCCTAAATGCTGCTGCTGTTCTCCACTCATGACTCCCACAGGTGTCTCAGTGTGCTGCTGATGAAGACCAGTTTGATTCACAGATGAAAGTGAGTGAGTGGTAATGATGGTGGTGCTGGCAGAGAACGAGGAAGCTGATGTAATGGATGAGTGCAGTGGAAGGCCGTCACTAGCCGAAGTTGTTGTCCCACCCTGCACTAGGGCAGGCCAGGCAGAGGGATTCACGTTGGGGTTGAAATTGGCACCAGGGCCACTGCTGCCACCACCCACATGGCTCTCCTGTGGCCCAGGAAGAAGATGGGAGACTTTGGAATTGTAAAATGCTGCTGATCCTCCACCTGCCTCCACCTGAGAGGAGGTGGAAGAGCCCCACACACCACCACTGGACTGAACACATTCATTAAGCGAGGAAGAGGAGGAAAGAGGAGAAGAACGAGGTGGGGAAGGATTGTCCGTGTTCCCTGCTCCTCCTCCTTCTCCCTTCTGCTGGATGTTTGTCTGATTCCATGAGGCACTACTGTTGTTGTTCTTACCGGGGCAGTCTTGTTCCTGCACACCTCCTCCAGCCCCATCAGAACTCAGTTTGGCCCCGCCTAGGATGCTTGGCCAATCATCCAGGTCAGTCCCATCCACAAACACCTTCCCGCAGCCCTGAGAAGAGGACTGGCTGCCAGAGCCTGCCCCCCATGTGGAATTTGCATAAGTTGAAGTAGTAGTAGTAGTAGAAGAAGAAGACGACAAAGCAGAAACACACAATGAGGATGAGGAGGAGTTGGGGGGTGTAGGGGAGGATGAACCCAGGTTGGAATCTATATGGGCAAAATTAAAATCATTTTAATTGACAATTTAAGCTTTAACAATACTAACTAATGACTTGAAGAACACACTAACTAGCGGTACAGATTACTAGTTACTGTATTACTGGTCAGTGAATACACAGCTTTATTTCTGTGTAAAAACTGACAACTACAATTTTAGTGTCTTTTACATTATCTTTACAGATGATCGTATGCTGTTGCAAAAAGCTGGATAATGTATAAGAAGCACTGAGCCATTTCTAAACAAAAGCGTTTTCCTGGACAGGAGACTGCTACTGTTGATGGCCTACACACTAAACTTGGTCCATGAACCCACCTGTGCCTCCAGATGTGGTTGCATTGGGGTTATCGGCACCTGGTGAGGAAAGAGGTGGGGTGGTTGCCCAGCCAGTGCCTCCTCCAACCCCTCCTGCACCTACTTCCCCTCCTCCTCCGCCCAGCAGCATGGAGGACAGCGGTGGCTGGCCCCTCTTCAGTAGCACTTTATGGTCCTGGTAGCGAAATCTTGGTGGAACCTCTCTGGACATGTATCGCTGCTGCTGGGAGGTTTGGCTTCCAGAGGGAGAGGAGGAGGACTGTCCGTTGGCCACAGCTGCCCGCTGCTTTGCATTGTTCCCACCACTAGGAGGGACTTGTGCAGAAACCCCAGCTGCACCAGGACTGGGGGATGAGGGGGCAACAGGGCCAGGGCTGGGGGACACTGAGCCTGGGGTGGCGAGTGGCTGGGAACACGAGGGCTTGGCTGATTCTGGCACTGAAAAACACCAATTATTAAAAGGTTATGAGTCACTGAGACTTCAGTACAATAAAAAGAGAAAGATTGTGTGGATATTCAGGATGGGCAATGATTTTCAAGTATCTGAATAGTCAAATAAAAAAAAAAACAATTCATGCAACTATGGTTTTGTTTTTGTTTTTTAAAATAAAAAACCCACTGTTGCTTTTACCGGCACCTGGAAATAATGCAATAATGAGGTCAGTATATCATTTTACTACAGCACCAAATACAAACAGCAGAAACATGCAGAGACTATAGCCAAGAAAACGGTCACAGCACGACTGGATAAACTGCATGATGATGATGATTATGCACGTGAGCCACGCAGTCATTTGACAAGTGCTGAAAAGGTGGGGGTGATCTTTGAATAACTGCTGAATAGTTCCCAGTGAATATCAAATAGCATTTCAGCTTCAAAAGCCCATCCCTAATGGATATGTCCCTCAGCTGCAAGTAGGTTAAGCTACTCAACAGCTAATGATTTAGAAAGTTTTGAGAAAATCTCTCAAGAATCTGAAGTGTGAATATAGATTGCACAGTGCCAATGCAGCAACTCCTTAGCTCATCGCAATACTAAGATCTTATAACAAGCAGGTACTGCTGATTAAAGCTTTTCAATCACATCAAATCTAAATCTAAATTCAACAAGTGTAATGAAATTCACTTGGTGCTTGTGTCCTCATAAAATTTTATTTGATATCTCACAAGAACAAGACAGAGAAATCTTATCACCGGCATTATCAAATTGATTAGTGAGTAATAAAAAGAGGAAGAGTGTGATGATGACAAAAACATTAAAAACATACCTTTGATTTTCTGTTCTGGCACCTATAATATAAAGAGCAAGCGAGTCAGAGATAAGTCAGAAAAGAATTTGCTGTTGGAAACTTTTAGAACATGAAAACGATACAAATACATCCAGTCCTACAAGTGTAATCTTACTAGGCGTCAGTCTTGCAGCCGCAGCTGAGAAATATATAAGAAAGGCACAGTTCAAGTATATAATTAAAATATGGCAGTCAACCTGCATTTTAAGGTTTCCAAAATTGCAAAATACTTCCCAAATCCATAAACACTAAAAGTTCTGCTTAGAGATGCACCGATCGATCGGTGGAGCTCAGAATTGGTCAGTTTTCAGAGTGATTGGGCAGTCAATGGTCTGAGAGTTCAGATTCCGTGCCGACTAGATTCAGAGGCACGACACTTCATGTCGCACATGCAGTGGCACAAACCAAACGCATAGCATGTGCAGCGAGGCTCACTCTCGTGTTCACCCGCACATTGTGATGACACAGAGGAATATCACAAATTCTCTACAAAATATATGGTCAAAGGCAGCTATGAATATGTTCTTACCTTCTGAGAGGTTTCCCTTTTCTTTTTGTCTTCTTTCTTCTTTTTCTTGTCTTCCATGAACTACTGTTCCCTTTCCTGATTCACCTGTCTGTGAAGAGAAATATTCACTTTTAATTATTCATGCAACACCTCAAGCCACACAGAAACTGATTTAATGCTCACAAAAGCATACATTTTCCACACGCGCACACGTCTACTCAAAATTAATGTGCACTTCCTCAGATCACTGCCAAGTCCACTTCTATGCGGTTAATATTGTAAGGACTGTAATGTTAGCCCAGGAGAAGATAGTCTGACCACAGCTCTTGGTAGCCTAGCTTCTCGGTGCATAATTCATTAACCAGCAAACAACTGCAATTCCAACCAAGAGTCTACACAGGTAGCACCAAAACATACATGCTTTAAACCCTTCAACGTTTCTAGAAAAGTCATTTTATTCTGCATCAAGACAGAGAGTAATAACAGAATGATCCGGGGGATACTATCTTAAGTGTGGGTACATGACGGATTTGTCCTGTGTTTTGAAGGAGAGGCTCTGTTCCCTTCACGCCTGCCCAAAGTAAACATATGCAACATGCAAATACACACCTCATACCCAAGCTACGTGACCCCCTGGAAACCAAAACATACTAAAGGGGGCTGAGAAAATCCGGATATATGTGGAAGAGTAAATATGACTGGGCCCGGTGTTTCTGTAGCTAAGCTGCACATAATTAGCACCATGTCACAAGCTAGCTGGACAACTTAACACTTCACTGCACCCTATATAAATACATAGGTAGGCCTATATAAGTAGGCAGTTTATCTAATGCATGAAACCCCCATACAAGGCAGATGTCTACAGCTACATTAGGAACTGGATTTCATACAAATAACAGGCTAGTAAGGAATATCTGTACGGCTACTAGGATCCAACAGAGGACCTTCCCATGGGCGAGCAGCTAGCTAATGCTAGCCGACTTTAAAGCAGCTGAGCCGTGACCCGAAGAGCAGGGGCAGGTTGTCCCAGAGCAAAGTACGCGACAAACGCAGTTGGCTGCAGACATCAAACACGCCATTAGCTTAAAAACACGGCCTTTGCTTTCATAAACAGGTGATTTAATTTATCGCTATAATTCATTACTTTACAGTTAGGACAAAAACACTACTGCTAGCAAGCTGGTTCGTCGGTACTAACGGCAGACAGGGCCAAATGAAACTACGAACTTTAATGACATTTCTTCAGCATTGCAACGCGCACGAAGCGAAGCTCTTACAAAACTGAGAAACCCAAATCTCGTTGGCTTTACAAAAACAGAAACAACGACCCTTAATAACCACATACATTGTGAAAGATACCAAAGCGCACAATGTTCCATACTTACTTCGGGAATCAGAAAGGACATAAAGTGCTTCTGTGCAAAAATTCTTGCAGACCTACCGCTAGCAGGCTAGCAAGGTAGCTAGCCTAGCGAGCTAGTTCTTCGAGGCTTTCAAGGCGAAATTGAATAAGAAATGACATCACCGAAAGGCGAAATGTTAACTGTAGAAAAACAGGGAAATGAGTATCCTTTTGCGCGACTGTAGCTCTCAAGCTGTAAACAAAACATGCATAACCCCTTGGTGACTGTCAGACGCTGTATGATCGATTAGTTTACTATCGGCCATTTTGCTTCTGTGTGGAGCTTCAGCCAGCATATGATATCACCAGGCTGTTGTTGATCAGGGAGGGGAGGAGAAGCGGGGCGCGTCCGCCGCCGTCCACCAGAGGGCGCCCCATCACTGGTCGTCATACACACGGAACATAAACAAATGGATCAAAATTCCCAATTCAATCCAGTTCTGTAATCAAAGCCATTCCTTATGGATTGATCCATCTTATTACGAGTTTTTATATTTTGGTGAAAGAAATATTGCCATTAATTTTGAATGGCATCAATATATGACAAGAAATGTGATAATGAACATATTCATCAGATTTTTCAAAGTAAAAGCATATTCTGCCAGCAGGTTAATTTTATTGGAACTCACATTTGGAAGAAATAAGCTGGAAAAAACGTGGCATTCTAATAAAGTCAAATAAATTCATTTAAAGTTTTTATATGAAATCTAATAAACAGTTTCCAGATACAGTAGCTCTTGTTCTTTGTGGTCATGCCAAACAGACGTCACTTTGTTCTTTCATTGTGATAAGAAAAATATTTTGGTGTGATTTTTTTGCACGTTTTTAATACATAACGCAGCCCTAACTTGCCATTTCAGTCAGAGTTTATTTGTTAGTATGATAATATGAACAACAAAGAAGCTCGAGACCATATTGTGGTTCCCAACCCTCATTTCTCCTTTTTTTCCTTTTTGACTGAGTATAAATTTAAGACCCATGCTCTTTCAAACTATAAAAAGCAACAGGTTTTCAAAATATTACAACCCCCCCACCCCTATTAAATGGATTGCTCTATACTACACTGATGTATGTGTGGTTATATTTCATTTTAAAAGAGAATTAGTGCAACTCACATAAGAGCACACAAGTGATGTAAACCTCAATTCTTCTGTTTTAATTTATTTTTTAAAAATGGTTACAAATGAATAATGATTTAACAGTCACAGTGAACTAAAGCTTCTGTAGTACAATGTAGTGTAAATAAAAAATTTCTCTGTCAAGTTGATATGTTTAAACTCTATACAACTGTTAGGGCAGAATATTTACTGCAAATACAAGATGTGGATAAGCAGATCTGGCTGTCCAATATATCTCTTGCTATGCTCTCCTTCAATTATGCCTTTGGTCCCTCTTCCTCACAGCTTCACTGTCCACTCACAACAGTTATAATTCCTGTTGACATGCGACATCCTTGTATGGATCAAATCTTTTACGTTTTTTCACTATTCTCCCATTTTACTTAGTCCATCTTGGCAATATAGATGAGAATGATAAAATTTCTGTTTGCATGAATGTACACTGGCCTAATTTGACCTCATCTGAGATCCAAAGTTGATGTTGCCCTACTTCCTTAGAATAGTAGGATGAGCTAACACTAAATGTTCATCCTCTATAGGAACCTGACTCTTCACAGACAAGACAACCTAGTTTTGTGCTTGGTGAATATTCATTTCTGTGTCTCTGCTTTGCTGCAGCCAATCCAGTTCCACCCATGCTACTGCCATCTGCTGGCTGTAGATGGCATTGCGTATGGCTGCCAGCAGCTCGTAGGTGTTGCTCCAGGTGCTGGGCTCCAAGGTGCTGTGAAGCAGGGGAAGCATCTCCAGCTGCACCTCCTCTGCCTTGCACGCCTCCTCCATTATGGTGTCCTCCCCACACCATGGAAAAAGCTTCCTGTTTCAAGTGTTAGAGGAAACGAATGCTGAACTCTATCAAGAGAGTATTTGTGGCATATTTGTGAGGTGAGAAAATACCACACTATGTGAAGCAAGATACTGGTTTGCCCTGTAGTGTGAAATGTATGATGGATAACTAATCTGATGGCAGAGCAAATGAATGTACACTTACTTCAGCTTCTTGTGCTTCTTGTTCTTAGGGCGGATGTGGATGACGATGGGGTAAATGCCCTGTTTCATTAAGCCCTCAACACTGTGCAGCCCCAGCTCCAGCAGACAGTGCTTGTCCTAAAACAAAGAACGACATGTGGATCATGTATGACAATGTATATTGATTGTTATTACCAAGAACATCTTGACTTTCCATAAAATGAATAGGTGGTACAATTAACAGCTTTGACTGTTCACTGACTTCACCTACAGACATACTTCTTACTCTTCCTTACAGGATAGAAGATGCCACTGTGTGTGTCAGGCAGAGGCAAAAAAAAAAAAAAAATCCTTTTTGAAAATAAAGACAAAATGATGTTTTTTTTTATTACCTGGTCGATGACATCCTGTATGGACTGCAGCCGTATCCCCAGAGCCTGCTCTGGACCGCAGGAATCCAACAAGAACACTTGCTTGTCTCGCCTTTCTGAAGCCTGAATTGGCTCTGCAAACCACAACAATGTGGAGAATGTGGTCTATCATGTGAATGTCAGATGAATCAGCCTTTTTTTTTCAGTGAGCTCATTGGTGTTTGGGGCATCGTGTGCGTGAGTAAGTGTGTGCGCTGTGTGCACACCTAGTGGGCAGGTGTTGAAGTGTAAACCAGACTCTGCAGGTTGCAGCAGCCTCTCTATGAGACCCCGGGACAGAAGAGAGGGGGAGAAGATTACCGGCCGCTTTGTCTTAACCTGTACCGGCTCCACTAAACTGTATGGGATCAAGTGCTCCTCGTGACCTGAGGGGACAGATGCACATGTAGGTAAGCAACATTTTCAGAGAAAACAGGCACTTTATCCAAAAAAATGACAGACCACAAAGATGTGGTGTCACATTATTGTTGGAGCTTACGTTTTCCGAGTGTGTAAAGGACCTGCTGTGTTGAGCCGCTCCCACGGAAACCAGGGTCCACGGCTTTGACCAATCGTATGCGGCCTGATGCTTTCTTCAAGAACTACATGGTAGAAAATGGAGATAAACTAAACATGTTCTATTAAGTGTGGCTAAGGGTTTGGTTAAGCACCGTAACTGCAGCAGAACCTGATGTTCATGTCATTTCTACATGAACAGACGAACCTTCTTCTTATCCTTTTGCTCCAGGGCCATTTTCCGCAGCCTTACAAGTAACAGCTGTTGTGCCCTGAGATAGAAAATTGTATTATTTACACTTTTGGCATTAATATTATGATTATACAATTCCAGAGCTACTGTGTAAAGTCCTGATCTTAGGTATTATCACAGTCAAATCAAGGTCTCACTGGCGTACCTGTTGTAGTTGGGCATGGTCCCTGCCTGCTTTGGCTTGGCTGTGCATGGGTGCACAAGGGAACAGTGCCAGTGGTATTTCCCATCGTACCTTGTGTCTGTGACATGTATAATGTCATCACAGGACACACCTAGAGAAGGTGGGTTACCATGAGGCTCCATGTTGAGATTGACACGCACATAGAAGGAGTCAGCACCCATGAAAGTAGGTGAGGAGAGCTGGGAGCAGAGCTTTGAGTATGCTGAGGGTAGGAAGCAGATGAAGGGGTGGCTCAGTCTCACCTTTCTAAGACAATGTTTCTGTTTTATATATTTTTTTCAAATCTCTGAGGAAACCGACTCACCCTCTGGGTTGCTCTGATGTTTGAGTGCTGAAGGCTCAGTCCACCACTGCAGAGAAAAGTGGGCTACCTCAGCAGTGCACTGTCCCAGCAGCACACTGCCCCCACCAAACAGAACCCTCTCTAGCTGGACAGCATGAAGAGAAAACATGTCACAGCCTTATCTTCTTGTCTCTCTTGATTTCATTTATCCTTTTGGCAATCAAAAACATACTTGTACAAACAAATGTGTAATGTGCATTTGTTCCAAAAAGACAAGCATGAGCATGCACGTAGGTCCTTCAAAAGGCACATATCCACATGTTCACGGATGCAGTCCTAACACAATCATACAGACACTGACCTCCAGCAGCTCACTGCCCTCCTTCAGTCCACACTGTTCAGCTGGGGAACCAGGTCTCACGTGGCTGACAAAGATTCCTGTTCGGTTTCCTCCGACTATCGTGATGTCATCAGCAAGACTGGCTCTTTTGTGCTTTGGCAGGGTGGGGGGGCTCGAAGATGGGGAGCAGGGGGGTATCCTGAGAGACAGTAAGGATGGGAAGCACTAGATTAGATAAGGATGGCGCCTTTAAGCTGCATCATCATCATCTTTCTTCTTAAATCAAAATACTGGCTATTAAGCAGACAACAGCTGCATGTCAGTGCTTTAAGGCTGTACTGTACCTGGGAACACTGGGACAGGACTGGTGTGATGAGATGGTGGGCAGGTTGACCAAGTCAGGGGGGAAGAGGTGGGAGTGTAGGGAGTTCCAGGAGTCCCACAAAGAAGGTTCACGCTGCTCACCTGAAAACAGCTCATAATAACGTGTGTAACAGTGCGCTACATGCACAGAAGGAACAAACAGAAGTGGAGTAAATGTCTTCTACGGTTTGTTTTACTTAACTTAAGCACTAAATGACAAAAAAGTTAAACTGTTTAAAAGTTATCTTGATTTTCTGCATAACTGATGACCGATTCAAGTTATTTACTGTATCCTGGAGTTCAAGTGCTATTCATTTTGTTTGCAAACACTGACATACAAAACAGTGGAATCAAATATACCTGTAATGTTGTCATTCTCATCGCTGCCCCAGGAATCCAAGTCAAACCTTTGCAGTGCAGAAAAAGTCATTCCAATGAAGTCAAGGTGAATAACTTAGCTGGAACAAGCAGGAAGTGCTATATGTGAGATGGTTACGCTGCGCCGTTAAACTCACTCAGTGTTGAAACGTCGATCGATGGAATTCATACAAGGAGGAAAGGGAAACGTAGAGAGCCGATTTATCTCCTTTTCATTGTCTTCTGTCTGAGGGTAGAGAGGTACACCAAAAAGACTATTATATAGAATATAAAGAAGAATATTTCTTCTTTTTTTACCTTTTCAGTGTTTAATGAGCAGAGATGTGATACTCACTGATGACAGGAGATTCTCCTCTGAGTTTGAATAAGAACCTGTGAAGGAGCCAAAAGATTATTTAAATTAAAAAAGTACATCTGTATGAAGGAAATCAAGTATTTTCATGTGGACAACTTAGGGATCATGTTCCAGGTGTCAGTGGACAGCTTACCCTCTGAGTTTTCATTGGCTCGACCTCTAGAGGGCGCCTGTGGCACAGAAAGGACAAGTGAATACACAGTAGGACCTCACAGCCAGCGAGAGCTACTGTACAGATACTAACATGCTAAGACTTGCATAAGAATGTATTACAACATGTCATACCATAAGATGAAAGTCTAGCTGAAGAAGGGTCCTTTACAATCTAAAAGCTACATTCCTTCCACAGTATCACGACATGAGAAAGCACGTTTGTGCAGGTGGAAATGATCCTTTACAGTAACCAAAGAAGTAGTCAGAGCAGCTACAGCTGCCATGACTGACAGCAGCGCCACATTCCTACACCAATGACCACTGATTTGATTTGAAATCACAGCTAAGATGATGGTGTTTCTACTGTTAGTGTGAATCTGAGTAAAATAACAGTGACCTTTCGCAGCAGCAGAGGAGTGCTACTGGACTGGCAGCTCAGGTCCAGGCCGAGGGAACAGCAGGGGCCGTAGCACTGGTCCTCACTGCACAGGGACAGGTGGGACTGTGGGGGGGGAGGATGATGATGCAGCTTAAAGGCATCAGTGTTGCACATTTCAGTTTCTGTACACCCGAGTTAACTTACACAGTGCAGACAGGAGCCGGTCTGCTCCATTTTCTCCTGGCTCTTCTCCCTCTCTCTCTCCAGCTCCCTCTGCTGCTGCTCCAGGTTCGCCTGCAGCTCTGCAATACGTTTACGCAGACGGTTCTTATCCAGCAGACAGTCGGTGTACTCCAACTGCAGGCTGTCTCGACTGCGCAGAGCCTGGTAGGAAGATGAAACAGGACAGAGAAAGGCTGTCTGCATGTTGTTAAGGCTAGCCAGGGATGCTAATACTGGAGAAACTAAATCAGGATACACACTGACACACTCAGCTGCAACACAACAAACTACAAATATCCCTTGAGGCACTGTGTCAGATAGTTAGAAACCATGCTGGGCAGGGCTACACATGTGAGCCATTTCAGAGCCTTTATTCACACTGACCTGTTCTCTCTCCTTCTCCAGTTCCATGACCTGGTTGAAGTAGGACACACTCCTCTTCTGTTCTGTCTCCCAGTCCAGCTGCAGAGTCCTCACTTTCAGCTGTAGCTGCTCACACTGCAACTCCAGCTACAAACATAGTTCACCATTACAAAAGCAGAAAAGTTATGTTTACAATAGAACAACAATCATAAAATGAAACTTTTTGCAGCTAATTAACTATTTCTATTTTAATCTGTGATTAAAGATTAAAAATATATCATATATCACCTTGTCCCTGTGCTCCTCGGTGCTCTGTAGCTCTGCCTGTACTCTGGTGATGATCTCACAGAGCTCCTTCCTCTGCTCTGCAGCCTCCATGCGGTCCTGCTGCAGGATGTCCATCAGAGCCTGAGGTCACCAGAAATGGTTTTACAACATGAGACGTGCCAGAAAGGATTAAAAGTGCCAACCAAACAGCACAGTAGCTGACACAAAAGAAGCTACTGTACAGGTGTTTTAAGATGATAAACACCGGAGAGTTAAAAACATACTCTGGTGGCAGGAACCGAGTCCCTCATCTGAGTTTCTGTATTCCCAGCTTTCTGTTCCTCAGTGTGGTCCACTGGCTTCACTGGTAAACCAGGTGGAGAACCTTTTACTCTATTAGAGAGCAAACTGTTCCTTTTTGTTGGCGTAGAATCCCCTGGTGTACCGAGTGTTTGCTTCTCTGCATCTGTCAACCTTAACTTTAGCTCCTCCACCTGTGAGGAGACAGAACAAGGCAGCCATAAAACACACTAAGTCATACAAACACATAATTTATATCCTGTCTACTTTTATTTCAAGTAAAACCAAATATTTACTCTCCAGATTACAAAAACGTCTCACATTCCCATAACAGCAGACACAGTAAGGTAAAGAGCACAGCATGAAACAAATAACTGATGGAGTCCGACAGAGCGGTGAACAGCAGCCTGTTTGTGGTCAGACAACGTGGACACCGTCTCCTCCCAGCAGCCCACAGCTTTAGATTATGAACCAGAAACTCATCAGAGAGGACATCTGAATCACACTGAGCTTGAAAATTCATTCCTTGATCTAGACTGTGTAGATTCATGACTGGATTAAATAAAATCTGTAAAACCACACTTGATATTAAGGTTGTGTCCTGGTGTCTGGGCTCTTTGGGGCAGTGTTCACTCACCGGTACCGGATGTTCACTTTGTGTTCAAAAGCAGAGACATCCTGTCGCTTAATATGAAAGAATCGCTTGTTTTCCGGAAACACTATGAACAGCTGATGGAGATCAGCGTGACGTCGCCCGAACCTTCAATAAACGGGGTTTCCCGCCCCTTGACGTTATGTAACAAGCTGCATACCTGCGCAGGTAAAACAATTACCGGTCACGGGAAAGGAAGTGCGTAGATGCGGTTCCCGCAGACCAATCGTCGACAAGGGCCGTGCGCAGTGGGCGGGGCTACAAGTGATTTAAAATTTGAGTGCATTGTTAGGTTAGCTTGTTGAGTCCGCGGGAAAGTGACGTTCGCTGCATCAGTCGGTGTTGATTCGAAAACGTTTGTTTGGCGCCAGGACGTTGCCAAACACATCCGCGTTGTGCGTGTGGGGAAAAAGGAGCTTTAGGTGTTCGGTAAGTCCCAGAAGTTTCTTTAGGGAAAATTGTTAGTTGTAACACTGAAGGCGGAAGTGTATCTCTGTCTGTTACAGTGAATTTGTTTCCTGCTCTATGACATGTGGCCTGTAGAATCATTTGAATCAAACTAATTTTATTTATTTTTCTCTTTTCAGGTAGAACTACCGAACTGTAAGTCAGTTTATTTTTACTTTATTGTGGGTTCCCTTGTTAGACACCCCCAGTTTATTCACTACCGGGGTCTTGTTGTGGTTAATGAGTTCACTGTGAGTCTAGAGGACTAGTTCAGGTCTAGTTCAGGTGTTTCTGCCGGCCCTCCAAGCCCAACTTTCTTTCCAACTCTCTTTTTTCCAACATGGCGTCTCTGCCATGACTAATTAGCTTTTCATGTGTCGTCCGATCGAAAGTGGCCATCTGTAAGTAGATTTGTGTAACAGGCATAGAACCAGGCTGCCAGACACATAAAACTCTTAGGAGCTTTGCCCTGGGAGTCTTATGTGCGGTGCCGGTCTATCCCACCCCCTGTCGCTCGCTCCCGCGCCGCCCGTCGCCATTAGAGTTTAGTTGGAGGAGGCTGTTCTGCAGAAGGTATGTGGTATTTCTTTCTTCTCTAACCTGGTTGGCTCTCCTACAGCGTGGTCGCCGTACCACAACATTTTCATGAAGATATTTCACCGCTGTACGTCCGTCCGTTAGTCTGAGATGGTCACCGGTCGTCCGTTAGTTACGTTAAGCGTGGGGTCATCATTTGGATTTACAAAAGGTATGTGTCACACTCTAACCTGGTTGGTTTCTCCCCCTAGATGGCTGCCACGCCACAACGATTTTATTTTTGTCCTGATGTCCTCGGTAAACGTTGCGCATCTATGTACAAAAGGTAAGCGTTGGATCTCTGGCTTCTTCCCTCTCTCTGTCACAAACATGACCGTGCGTCATGACTATTTCTGGCTAATCTGCTTCAATGTGTATTATTGTAATAACACTTTTGCTTTTCAGGAAATCAACAAAACTGTAAGTCCCATTTTTATTACTTTTTCCTTGTCGCGGCAGCACCTGCCTGCCTCTGTCTCTGTTTTCCATTTCCGGCTTTTGGAGGCGCCCGGTTTATGTGGTTTGGTGCCGTTTGGGAGGCGCCTGGTTTATGTGTTTTGGTGCCGTTTGGGACGCGCCCGGTTTAGTGTGGTTTGGTGCCGTTTGGGACGCGCCCGGTTTAGTGTGGTTTGGTGCCGGTTGGGAAGCGGACGGGTTC